TGGTGGTGGTGGTGCTGAGGGTGATGGTGGTGGTGGGGGTGCTGATGAGGGTGATGGTGCTGGGGATGATGGTGATGGTGGTGATGATACTGGTGGTGGGGATGATGGTGGTAGTAGTGGTGGTGATGGTCAATAAAGTAAAAGATAACAATCACCTAATTTTCTTAATGTCACCTCCTCTATCTCACTGTTCCTCCCGCCTCAAGGGTATTAATGAGAACCTAAGACTTTTACAAAAACTCATGTCTCTAGTGGGAAAAGTCCTGGACTAGAAGTTAAAAGATCTGACCCTCTGTCACAGAGGTCACAGTAAAAGTTAGTTGTTGGAGTCATAATTTGCTGTGACCTTGATAAATCACTTAAATTCTCCCGTGTCTCAGTTTTGCCTCTTCTATATCATGAACACTTGTGTAAGCACTTTACACATCTTCTCTGGTTTCATCTTCACATCAATCCTATGAGGCTGTTACTATTCTTACTGCTATTTTACAGATTAGGCAAAAAGAGTCTCGGAAACGTGTTGTGTTTTGGCCAAGTCACCAGATAGCAAGCAGCTGATCTGGAATTCAAATCAAGATGTGTCTGATGCCAAAGCCATGTTTTTTCCAACTCACCTGTGGGGCTCGAAAGAACTATGTATGAAATATTCAGGAAGCATAAAGGGGATCTAGTAGGACATCCGCAGAGGGTGTGAGTGGTCTGAGGGAGTTTGTGTGTGTGGGGGAGCACTGTGTGTGAGGATTGTTTTGAGGCTGCGATTTTGATTCTTTGTCCACTAAAACAAATCTCAGGAGCTGGGACACTGTGCAAAGTTAGGGATATAAAGAGTCCGGCCCCCCTAATTAGTCACCTCACTCCTACCTTTTCGACGCCATTTCTTGAGTTTTCTGGTTTCACCAGGATCGATGGTGGGGCAGATGCAGGTGGTTTAGGTAGAGGCTCACTCTTGATGGGGATTTCCTTGCCTTCCATGATGAGGGAACTGGCTGCAGAGTGGATCCTGGTGTCACTGCCCCTGCTGACGCATGTGAGGGCAGGCTCCCCAGTGGGAGTGGGCTTAGGTCCCAGTTCTGCCACCACTGTCGAGGCTGAGGAGGAGACCCCCTGCGGCTGGTAGAACTGGAACTGCTGAGGCCGTACGACCATGGTGGGACTGCGTCTGAGGGAGCCCACCATGAGGGCGGGGATCCCTGACTGGACGGGTCTCTGCAGGGATCCATCTGAGGAATTATATGACACTGATATCAGCATTGGGGGCTGCTGACAGCAGGCTGGGCTGGGGTTGTGTAAGCCATGTGTCCTGATATCCCAGAATAGTTAAGTGCTTTCCCCATTTGAGCGTGCTCACATTCTCTCAGGGTCTTTCAAAGGTGACCTTATTCTTTTTTTAGTGCTGTTTGCTGATGCTGGCAGGAAATAACTGGCTAGCCAAACGTTTGGTGGGGGGGAGGGAGGGGGAGGTGGCGCTGTCAGAAGGTACATTACTTCCATTTGTCTCCTCTCTCCCTCACACACACACGCGCACACAGGCACCCCGGCTCTCTCACTTCAGGCCTAGCGGTTGGAAAGTGAAGAAGACAAACCTAAAGAGACAGCTTCACAGTGAGAAGCCAACAGAGGCATGCAAACCAAAGAGGAAACGAAAGACAGAGACAAAGAAAGAGACAGAAGAAATTGAGAAACACGAGACTCAGTCAATTGGGAGGGATGCAGGGAGGGAGAGAGGGAAGCAGAGAGAGCGGGACGGGGCTCTGACCAGGTATTTGAAGAAGCTGTAGGCATGTGGCAGTGGGATCACTTTTGTTGGGGGCCACGGGGAGGAAGCTAAGTGGAATTAAGGGAGGGTGTGTGCAGGCAAACGCTGACACCACATGGAAGCAAATCTGGAAAGGTTCGGGCTGTGTGTGGATGAGCTTTGCAAAGTCCCATGACAGAGGTTCTGGAATCAGGCTTACTCCCAGGGAGCCTGGGACAAGTCAGCCCCATCCCCTCCTGGCATCTCAGCCCCTCAGATGTAAACCGGAGGTGATAGCAATGTCTCACAGGGCCGAGAGGCTTACACTTTATGATGTGTGCAAAGTGTTAGCACAGTGCCTGGAACCTAATAAATGCCCCGTGTTTGTTAGCTCTCGTTGGTTTTGGGTAAAGGATGGCAAACCCTAAAAATATAAGGTCCAGGAGTGTGATTTTATCCCTTCCTTGAGCTTTATTTTGTTTTGTTTTGTTAACTGCGATGATCCTCCCTCAGTAACAGGAAGTCATTCCTTCCCCGCAAATTTTCTGAAGACCGGAGGCCTCCATCCCTTGGGCATATTGTCCTGTATGGGACCAGGGGAACAGTCGGGACTTCGGTGCACTCTGCAGGGGGACAGGAGAAACACCCTGAGAAGCACTGCAGTCCACTTCTCCAGAAGGGTCTCCGAGCATTTAGGGAGCCATAGGGGACATCCAGTCAGAGATGTGAGTCTTTGTGATAGCCTGTAGACACGTGTATGAATCAGAGTCATCTGTGTCCAGCACAGAGGGCCTGAGCCAAGGCCGTGTTCTGCGTTGCGACTCTTTGTCAGGCCCGATGTGAACGTGAAAAGCAGAACGCTCACTAAACACAGTTGGTGCTCCCAGCTGCGGTGAGCAAGCCTGGCGCCATTTACACAAGTCTGCCCTTTCAATGTAGACATTTATTTTTCCACTGACAGCCCTATGAGGCGCACAGTCAATTCTCCTGTCATTTCTCTTCGCTGTGGGTAGATTGATAGCTTGACCAGCCTCACCTTGGGAAAAGGGAGAGAGAAGGCCTCCGGGACCTGAGAAAGTCAAAGCAGCCCTGGGCAGACATGTCCTTAGGTTCCTGGAAATGTGTGAAAAATTGGTTTTATGCCTCATCTATTTATCTTGTTGGCTCCTAATTTCCAAGGGATTTAATGTTTTATCACATGTGCATACAGTGCAAGCAGTGAAAACTCCAAGCCAATCAAGATCTCCGCCAAGGTAGAGAAGGAGTGTGTGAAAGGAAATGTGAGCAATTGCCAATAGGACACAATTCTCAGCACTCCTAAGTGGTCTAGACCGAGTGTGAACATGTCAACACTGAGTCAGTTCACGCACTGGATGGACCAAAGATGACTTGCGTAGTTGTAGTAGCCATGATCGTACTGAGAAGATGATCATCCTATACAAACAGTTAGGATTTCTTGAGACTTATTATGTGCCAGGGACTGTGCCGTCAGTCTTACATGGATTATTTTACTAAATCTGCACAGTAACCCTGATGAGGTAGGTACAACTTTTATTTCCACTTTATAAATGAGAAAACTGAAGACTGAAGAGGTCCAGTCCCTTGCCCACGGCTGCTGTGGTGGATCATTCAGTACAGGGTTTGTGTGGGGGACGGGAGAGGCCGGAGCAAGGGCCAAGTGGGGAGGAAGGAGGAGGGGGGGTAGAGGCAGTACAGTGAGAGTGGAGGTCAGGCAGGTGGTCAGGTGAAAGCACCGGGAGAGGGTGGGGCGAAGACATTTGTTTTAATTTTCTTGGCACATTTTCCTGGGTGGCATACTGTCCCACATGTCACCCTCTTGCTTTGACCAGCCATACTGTACTTTCATATTTAATCGTCTTTTAAGATAGCAAGGGAGACTGCAGAGCCCAGTTTAAGTCAGAGGATGTAGAATAAATCAGATTTGCTTTGTGTGGCTCATGGTCTTCCAGAGAGGTATGCGAATTATAGAAGCTTCATGTTTTGTAGAAAAATGGGTTTCAAACACTTTGTAAAATCCCTGAAAATGATGTCTTACGTAGAAGTTCAATATGTCAGGAGACAAAAGTTTTGCCATGTGAGCAATGTGGATGTTATACAGGTAAAAACAAAAGCAAGGTGCAGAGCAGTGCAGTAGGTATGATTATAAGCTACTATTCAGGTACATGGAAGAGCACTTGGGATAGGGGTTAAGGATATAAAGACTTATTTTTATACAATATAATTTTTTTAAACCTTGTGTATATATTAAATAACAAAGCAAGATTTAGGGGCTCTGAGAATTGACTCCTTAACCCTCTTTGCTTCTTTCACCATCCTTCCCATGTTTCCCTTTTGGCACCCCTGAGCATAGTTTGAGAAGCATGATCCAGCAAGTACTTTGCTTGTTCTGTCTTAACTGGGGCCAGCCTCCACCTTGGCTGTGTTCTAATCATATGTTGGCACTCAGGGCTGCTATCATCCCAGCCATTCAGTATACGGGGATGGAGTGACCAAGGGCATGACCTTAAGTCGGTCTGGCTTCATCCAGTAAAACCAGTCACTATTAGGGAATTAAAAGCACCCTTTACAAAGGCTTGTTTTAAAGCCAAGATCTCATTTCTGCAAAAGGTGCTCTGTCTACCCCAGAGTCCGATCCCCTCACTTAGCTCTAGGCACGTACCTCTCTGCCACCACTTACTCTTTCTCATGCTGCTCTGCCCGGATTTCCGAAGAGAGCCCCGTCCTAAAGTCCCTGGGCTGGCCGTGCTCCTCACAGGGTCGACTATGGCGGTGGGCACAAAGACGGACTTGAAGGGCTGGTTCTGCCGGGGATCACCTTCTGAAATGCTGCCTTGGGATGACACAGAGGAGTTGGATAATGTCCATGTGGCGTAGAGACCAGGACTCCGAGAATCTGGAAAACTAGATGTCTTTCTGGTTGTTGCAAGCATTTTAAAGAGAAGAAATAAAGAAAATGCTCAGTCAAGAGTCCTATTTTAAAAACCTCTCCGCTCTCAACCATATACTAAATGTGGCCTCACCTCCTACAGCTGGGTCCCTGTGTGGGCGTGCTGAGGGCAGGGACAGGATCTCAGATTGAGGCCCTGATGGAACAGGAAGGCTTGAATTTTGTCATTCTTCACTCCAGCTCTGATCACTCTTGAGCCCATGAACTCAGAGCACAAGATCTTGTATGTGTTCAACTTGCTTTGCAGTTCTGATTTCTTTCTTTCTTATTTATTTATTTGAGAGTGGGGTGGGGGAGGAGCAGAGGGAGAGGAATAAGCAGACTCTGCACTGAGTGCAGAGCCCAACATGGGGCTCTATCCCACAACCTTGAGATCATGACCCGAGCCAAAATCAAGAGTCGGATGCTTAACTGATTGAGCCACCCAGGTGCCCCCAAATTCTGATTTCTTATTCATTCAGTGACGCTTCCACCGGATGCTAAACTCTTTGAAGGCAGAGATTTTATATGACTTATTTTATATCCTCTGTGTTCTGCATATACTGCTTATTAACAAATGTTTGTTGAACGGCTCTCGTGATGCTTTCGGCACTGATGCCAGTCATCTGGGCTAACACGTGTTGAGCACTTACTGTATGTTGGGCATTGGGCAGTGCTTTGCCCACATTAGCCCGCGGGTTCTTCACAACAGCCTTCTGAGGTAGATACTATTAGTGCTACTATTTTATAGAGGAGAAAACTGAGACTTACAGTTACTTGGCCAAGCATCTACTAGACCTGAGATTTGAACCCAAGTCCAGGCTGGCCCTCTGCTCTACCACGGAAGTGTATCGTCTTACCACTGAGCACGCCCCGTCCTGGCTGGTTAAAGCCTTCATTATTTAGGTAGCAAGGAAAAGCCTGCATCCTGCTTGAAAGAAACAATCTAGGGCTGGGGGTAGGCCCTACACATGCCTTCTGAAGACCCTAATTCTTCAGCTTTGGGCTCTGAGTTTGAAAAACAGTATCAAAGTTTTATAGAACAGCAATCCCTTGTCAGTTGTTTCCAGCTTGCTACTCCCTGAACCCCACGGGGAATGGCTGTCATTTTACACACCCTTCTTGCCCTTTTACAAATCCTACCCCAAGATCACAGCCCCTCCCAAGCAGTCCATGGATCAGCTTGTCACTCTGTTGATGAAATAACCTCTGCTAACTCCCCGGGAAGGACCGACTTGCCCAAGGCCCTGGCTCAGAGGTGCCCTCCCTGGTGGCCTTCCCGTTAATGTCCTTGGGTTTCTCTTTGGGGAATTTTCCCTTATTTTCCTCCTCCTTTTCTCTCTGCCTTTTGCCTGAAAAAGCGGTATGGAGCTTAACAACGAGCCAGCCTGTTGTACGAAGACAGGTGAGGCATCATTTAATAGGGTCCACTCTGCCCACGAAACAGATCCAGCCAGATGCCCAGGATGATGCTTGCAGTAAGGGGCCTCCTACCCATGGATGACACCCTGCCTCATGTCCCTGGGGATGTGGTCAGTGAAGGGAATGGGCTGCCCGCCAGTAAGAGCTCCAGACTATTTTCTGGAGCCAAGGGCTGAGCAGTGGAGCGAAATCCCCGGCACTGACCTCCATGGCAAAGGGCTGCATCTGCCCGTCTTTTGAACAGAGGCCTCAAGATGTCGGATCCTGTAAAATGGGCTGGCAACAGGAAAGACATTTCCAAAACGGTTCCCAGCAGCAGCAGGTGCAGCCTTTTCCTCCCTCGGTAATTAAAAGGCTCACTTGCTGAATCTTAAATGAAAACCCTTCCAGTCTGGTCAGCTCTAGTCTCTCTATAGTTAGTCTTAAAACTCTGGCAGGTCCAGTTTATTAGGGAATAATGCTAATAAGAGCAAACGTGCAAATGCTCAGGGGGCATCTCATACTTTTGAGCCCTGGCTCTTTTTTTTTTTTTTAATTTTATTTATTTCTCAGAGAGAGAGCATAAAGCAGGGGGAGGGGCAGGCAGACGGAGAAGCAGGCTCCCCGCTGAGCAAGGAGCTCAATGTGGGGCTCCATCCCCGGACCCTGGGACCTGAGCCGAAGGCAGATGCTTAACTACTGACTGAGCCACCCAGGCGTCCCAAGCCCTGGCTCTTTTATAAAAGGCTGTACTCTACACCAAGGGGGCTGGTGGCAGTGAGAGGCATCACTGCAAACAGAAAAACAAAGATTGGGGGAGAGCCTCACACATACACAGAACCAAAGAGCCGAAAGGGGCCTTGTACATGTAGTCCAAACCCTTAGTCCTAACACAACCTGCTAAAAGTAGGACAAAGGACAACAATATTCAGCCCTCCCACAGTGGAAAGGGTGGTCAAGAACAAGGGTGAGCTGCTCCCAGGTAGAAAAATTGGGCGTATGTCACCCATGTCTAAGATCGGTGACAACGGGACCTTTCTTTGCATCAGGGGGCCACCAGGGAGAACTTCACACACAGGAAGCACTGATCCTCTGTCACCAAACAGCCCTCCAGAGAATATACTCTGACAGGGACTTGCTCTTCTTGAAAATGCTGGTTCCCTAGAAGCAAACACACCCATCCATGTAAGTGGCACCTCTGTATACACATGTTCAGGATTCTCTGAACTCGAGATGGGGGACATATTCAATGGCAACCTATGGCTGACATTCCATCCACTGTTTGACATGCTGCCATCTTGGAGCGGGTGAGTCTAGATGCTCATGATTTGCCTAAGGACACAATAGGTGTACCCAGGAGAAAAGCCAAGATGGAGGGAAAGGGAAGCTGGAGTCTTGAAATCCACTGGAATGGAATCCTACATGCATTCTAGTTAGGGTAACCATTTGTCCTGCTTTTCCTAGGAGAGTCTCAGTTTACACCTGTTCTCCTGGTGTTTTAAAAGTGTGTGTCTCTTTTCTTCTTAAAAGTGTCCTAGTTTGGGTGACAAATTACATGGTCACTCTTATTCTAAAGGTTTTTTTTTTTTTTCTTCCGTAGAATAATCAGGACTTTGGGCTAAGGCCTGATGCATAAGCAAATGCCCTAGTAGTAGACATAGTCCCTAGAGAATTCCTGTCATGGAGGAAACGGTCGTAAGTTAGGGTGGGCATCTTCCTTGCTCTTCATTGGCACCTTTAGACCATTCTCCCACCCTCCCCAGCTTTGACTGGTAGTATCAGACTCTACCACCTGCCACTCTACCTTGTTACCATTTTCTCTCTCAGCCTCTCCCCTCATTTCATGAAGATTTTAGTTTCTGGCTCACTGTCATTCTCTCTAATGCAACTGATCCTACCGAGATGATTTCATCTAGTCCCAGGGCTTTAAATACCATTTCAAGCCCAGACCGTCTTCCTTAAAATGCTGGGCTTGTGTACTCAACCATTTTCCAACATCTCTACTGGGATTACTAAAGGCATCTAAGACTTAATCTGTGGCCAGCTGAGCTTTTGCTCCCCCGCCGCCCACCTCTCAGAACCCATTCCTCTCAGTTTTCCCGAATCTCTCAATAAAAGGCAACTCCATTTTCCAGTTACTCAGGGCAAAAAAGGAGGACTCACATTGACTCCTCTATTCTTTCACACCCAATATTTCATTTGTCAGAAAATCCTGTTGTGACTACCTTCAAGTATACCCAGAATTTAACCACTTCTCCCTGCCTCCATGGCTGACACGTTGGCTCAGTTCACCCTCACTTTTCCTCCAGATTATTATAATATCCTTTTAATTAGTCTCTGTGCTTCCTACAGTTTACTCTCAAGCCAGCAACTACAGGGATTCTGGTTAAAATGTAAGTTAGATCATGTCACTTTTATGCTCAAAACCCTGCAATAGCGTTAGAGCCAAATTCTTCATTATGCCTTAGGAAATTATAGATGATCTGTTGCGATTCTGACCTCATCTACTTCTAACGTCCCCCTCACTTGTTCTGATCCAGTCCTATTGGCCTTCAGGTCAGGCATACTCCTACTTCAGGGCAATTGTACTTGCTGTTCCCGTGGTGTGGAATACACCTGCCTCATTTCCTTCCTTCTTCCTTCTCAGGAAGGCCATTCCTGACCAACATATGAGAATTTTAATCACCACCCCCCACCACAAATTCTATCCTGCTTTTCTGATTTTTCTTCTTAGCCCTTACTGTTAACACACCATATATGTTGCTTATATGTCTTGTTTATTTGTCTTTCTGTCCCACTAGAATGTAAGCTCCAGTGGGCAGAGATTTTGTGCAATGGTGTTTCTCCAGTGTCTAGAAAGGTGCCTGACAAATAGTTTGTGTTCAATAAATATTTGCTGAATGAATGAACTAAAGCATCAGTTAAAGACACACTTAGTTTGTGTATGGAGATTTTGCAAGTTTCTAACAAATTCCAAAAACTTTCCATTGCAGGAAATAACTTCTACTCTAACCTTCTGCCATGTGAAGAAATCATTTTATATAAGCCTGGATCTATGGAAACCCAGAGTTTGCCCATACTCTTCCTAGAAAGGGGGTCTACCACCTCACCAGCCAACCTTACTGGAAAAATATATGCATTAGAAAGTGTAGCCTTTTACTGAACCAAAACCTTCTAAGATGCATCCACTGGTTCACTGCCCCCTCAGGAAACAGATTTCCTGTCTACACAGCCTGTTATGGTCCCTCTGGCCCTCGTCTTCTGTAGCTTAACCCTAGTTTCTCTATCAGTTTCTCCTATGGTGTACTTTTCTGTCTCCTCACCATCCTTGTTGCCCTCCTCCGGACACCGGGTCCCACCTACATGAAGGTCCCCCAAACTGGACATATGACTCCAGGTCTGACCCCCAGAGAGTACAGTGGGTTATCAGTTTCCTCAGAGGTATGTCATAAAGGCAGCATCTGGTGTGTGGGGATGGCCCCACTGCCTTGTGACACGCTGTGCCTGGGCTGGCGTGGGGTGGGGATAGGAGGAGCCACGGGCGGTGCTGGGACCCCTGTGCCTCCGTGGTCATGGTCCGAGCAGCCAGACAAAGCAGAAGTATCAGGTATGCCAGAGAATGGAAAAGGCTGGGAAGGCTGTGAGGGACACTGACCTCCAGGGTAACCTGCCTGCGGCCTGGGGTGTGGATGGACAGGTGGTGGTCTGAGTCACGGAAACTTGCCTACTGGCTTGGTGTCCTAGGAAGTTTCCCAAGATGCTCTGAGGGTCTTCTGATCGTCACAGGTTCCCATTATTCGACTAGATGGGAGCGTCAGGGGGCGGGATGTGAATGGGATTTGGGGGGTTTATACAGTGAAAACCTGAAACCCCATTCTTGAGCAGGTTGCTTAACTCTGTACATCACTTTCCTCATCTGGAAAATACTATCTACCTTACGGGAAGGACTCTTGGGCACAGGCAATGAGATAAAAGATGAGAAAGTGCTTGTAAAATGTGAAGAGCTATAAAAAAGATAATTTGTTACTATTAAAAAAAATAAAGTGTTAGGAGGTTACTAGGGCTACTTCTTGGCCCACGCTCTGAAGGAGCACTGAGTCCTTCAGCGATGCAACCCACAGATGGCCCCCGGCCTTGGTGACCCGACCTCTGCTGCCTGAGAACGGAGGGGACGCACCTGAAAATGGGGATGACATAGTTGTTGGGGAAGATGCCAACCCGCCCAGTGACCAAGGAGACGCCCCTGAGCCAGCCGTCCGGGTACTTGCCCAGGACCCTGATGCCTTCTCCCTTCTGCAGGTCCAGCTCGTCCGGTCCATGGGCTGAGTAGGAGTGCAGGGCTACAAACCTGGGGAGACAAGGGAACTGGTGAAGAAGGTGAGCGTGCCTGGCAGAGGGCCATGGAACCAGCAGAGGGCGAAGGGGAGCAGAACCTCAGGGACCCTTGTCCCCTGGGTCAGTGATAACAAACTTCTTCAGGACGGAAGGCAGGCAGTGGTGACGGAGCGTGGCGGTGAAGCAGCCGCGGAGGGTCCACACCCCGGCCCTCCCCAACTCCTGCGTCCTCCATAGAGTGCCACACAGCTGGGAATCGCTAAGCTAGGCCACCCTGGCATTTTGACAGCGGGGAGAGCGGCCGAGGACAGAGACAGGAGCTGGTGACCAGGGATTAGTGGCAGAGCCTGGTCTCGAACCTAGAAGTGATGGCTACTGCTTAGGGTGCTTTTTCATACTGCTCAGAGTATCACCCGAGAAAATGGTTGCAGCCAGCAAGTTAAGGGAGAGGAGAGGTCACAAGCCTCTCTGATCCACTCCCTCTCCTGACAGTGAGGACACGTTTGACCCCCAGGAGTGGCTTAATGTAGGCAGGGACGTGGACACTGCAAATCGGGAGGCAGGAGTTGACTTTAGTCTGTGAGCACACAGTGGATCCTGGCTGCGTGGTGGGCTGGAGGGGAATGGGCTTGTAACATCGCAAGATGTCCCTGGGGAGAGCAGTGACTTTCACTCTCCAGTCTGCACAGGAGTCAGGCAGATAAATAACATCGAGGTAGGCGTCGTGGGGAGGGGGGGAGACACTAGCGAGGCTGTGAAAGTGAGAATATCTGCCTGAGTAAAAGCCCTAAAAAGAACCCACGTTGGCTTGCCAGATTCAGGTTACCAGTGTATGGCCTCAGGATGGACATCAAGAAGTCCTTCTAGACTCCAAGGACTATGAGACACTGGGAGGTTTTATGAAAGGAGCTGGGGGCGTGTTCTCATCCACAAGGTTTTCCCCCTCTAAAATGCTATATTTATTTTCCGCTGATCCTAAAGCAGTATCTATTTATGACACAACATTTTGAATCTGAAGGAAGTCAGTAGAAATTGCTCAATAGCCAACCTCCCAGCAGTGTTTTCGTGTATACTCTTCCAGTTTCTTTCTACCGTTGTAGAATAATGAGTTAGGTTGATGTGGTTTGCCAATTTGTGTTTTTCAGCATTATTTCCAGTGAAGGATACAAAGGAAGGGGAGCTCTTGTCTCTCTGGATGGGATGGTTTGGGAGTGGTGATGCTTAGCAGCAGAGGGATGGCCATGAGGACCCCTCTGGCCAGGACCTGGACTTGGAGGGCTGAGCTTGTTACTCACATGTTCGCTGAGAGGTGTTGCTGGGAGCCGGGCAGACTGACGATGGCCGTGGAATGTCCTGGGGAGGCAGGTACAGGGTGGTAAGTGCTGACCTACATAGACAGAAAAGACAGCCAAGCAGAACCAGTGAGTGCCATAAGTCAGGCCCACAGCAGAGCTGCTGCCGAAAGGCCTGACACAGCTGAAAACCAAGAGCCATGCCCGGTGCCACCCATCGTGCATCTTTGCTGTGGTTTGGGGCTGTGGGCAGAGCGGGTGGGGCTCGACTGGTTTATGGCCTGCTGGGGTGACATGCCGGGACTGCATTCCAAAAGACTGCTCAGATATGGCAGAAGATGAAGACTCATCCAGTTCCCAGTCAACGGGGCACTGCCAGGCTCCTTGATCTTTGCCCCCCTGGCTTCTCCCCACCCCCCTCCCAGTACACTCACCCGCTCTATGGAAACGTACTCTCAGAAAATGATATGATGGCTGCTAATGAGAACATAACACTGGCCAGGCACTTCTAAGTGCTTTACAAGTATCAGCTAATTTAATCCTTACTAAAGGTGCTATTATCATCCCTAATTCTGGAAGAGAAACTGAGAGAAGGATCATTTAATTAGCAAGAAATCAAATTTTAAACCAGGGTAATCTAGGTCCTGAGCCCACACTCTTACTAGTGCTAGTATTAACACACACACAGACACACCAGTTTATCCAGTGATCTATGAAAGGTGAATCTGAATAGTGTTCACTTTGCCAGGATGAAAGAGGGAGCAACAGTGCTAGACACACCCAGAAACTACTCTCCTGGCACCCTGCCTGTGTGACCTATGACCTTGCTCACTTCCTTCTTGGCACCTCTCACAGAGGTGACTGCCCCCGCCACTAGGCTGTAAGTTCCATGCGGGCAGGGACTCTCCCTGGTTCATCCTTGTCTTTTCTGTGTGCTCAGTATGTACTTGTGGCTTAAAGAACAAATAAATGAATGAAAAGTTCTTCCTACCCAGCAGACCAAGGACTGATGTAATCTCAACCATCTCCATGTCACGCAGAGTAAATACATTCAATCTATCTTCAGTTATCCCCCCATGAGTGAGGGTAACGGTGTATGTGTGCCTTTTTAGGACTCTGCTTTTCGGGTACAACTCTTGTTTGTGTATGTGTGTTTGGGCAAGAGGGAAGGCGTTACTGAGTGCATGTGTCTCTGGTTCTGTTTGTGCACAACCCGTCACAACTGTACGCGCTTGGGCAACAGCATTGGTCTGTTTTATGTCTGATTACGTTCACACATGTGAGTCTGTGGGTCGATATGCATGTGTACCGTGTGTGACTGTCTGTACAAGAGCCTGTGATTGTAAATGTCTGTGTGGGATTCTATGTGTATGTGGGTGAGCTCTAGAGGTATGTGCCGGTAGGCATGACTTGGTAGTTTTGTGTGTGTTCTTTGCTGACAATTGTCTGAAGATATGTATGCTGTGTGTGTATGTTTTACAGTTCGAGGATATAGTTATAGGATCAGAGAACCATTCCAGTCAGATAATAACAAGGGTTGGGGAGAACATAGAGAAACTGAAACTCTCATACAGTTGCTGGTGGGAAGGAATGTAATATGGTGTCACTCCTTTGGAAAATAGTCTGGTGGTTCCTCAAATGATTAAGCAGAATTAGCATTAGACTCAGTAAGTCCACTCCTAGTACATACCCAGGAGACATGAAACTATATGTCTACATAAAAACTTATACATGAATGTTTTTAGCAGCATTGCTCATAATAGCCAAAAGGTGGAAATAACCCAAATGTCCATCAACTGATGAATGGATAAACAAGATGTGGTGTATCTGTACAATGGAATACTATTCAGCCATAAAAGGAATGAAGTATTGATACATGTTAGAACATGGATAAACCTTGAAAACATTATGCTAAATGAAAGAAGCCAGATCCAAAGACCATATTATATAATTCCATTTATGTAAAATGTTCAGAATAGACAAATCTGTAGAGATAGAAAGTAGATCAGGGGTTGGGGATGAGAAAGGTTATGGGAGTGGTAGTTAAAGAGTACAGGGTTTCTTTTGGAGGTGATGAAGTGTTGTAAAGTTGTGGTAATGGTTGTACATATCCATGAATATGTTAAAAAACCACTAAATTGTATACTTTAAATGGGTGAACTGTAGGGCAGGTGAAGTATATCTAAGTAAGCTCTTAAAAAAAAAAAACAACATTCCATAGTCACCTATCTAGCACTAACACTGCATAAAGTGCTCTGAGCTTTGCAATCAAATATTGTCACACCAGTTCTCTTAAACAAAGAAGACAAGTTGCCAGCTTTGGGCTAGGCTGCTCCTTCCCTGTGACTGGGCAAGATAAATCCCTGCTGGGCTTGGGAGATGTGCCAAGGGGAGAGCCTTGTTATGTGAACAATTAATCTTATGTTCTTGGAGACGGTTGGACCACTGATTAAGCAGGATGCACTTCACTTAATACCCATGACTTTCCAGTGTTGTGTTTGAGTAAAAAGCCCTTCTATATGTAAACACTATTAATCATTTAGGGAGGAGGAAGATGCCAGAATGCAAAGCCATCCCTCCATGACACCAGGCTTTTTATTTCTCTAGGTGTTCATCTGGAGAGGGGGGTCCTTCCCCCTTTTTGGAACACTAAACCTAGGCAGGACTAAGATCAGCAGGCTTGTGATGAAGTGCTTTCTGATATGGAATGGGAAGTGAGGCCAGATTCTCAGGTTTTGAGGTGTCCTGGAGGAGAAGGGAGAACATGTGTGGACAAGGGGGAAAGAGGCAAAGGAGGAGGGAGAGAAGGGGAGATCATGGACAACTCTGGGGGAAGGGGTGTGTTTCTCAGGAACTGGGACGGGGACCTAGTGGGAGAAAGAAGTAGAGCCAGAGGGATAGAAGAAGGAAGGAAGAAGAAAAGGCAGATGAAAAAATATCAGAATAACTCTTACAACCCATATAGAAGATGGCAAACAACCCAATCAAAAATGGGTAAAGATGCCACAAAAGAAGTTCTATCAAGTGGCCAAGAAGCACTTGAAAAGATGCTCAACATCAGCCAATTATGAGGAAAATGTGAGGTAAAACTACCATGAGATACCACTACACACCTATGAGAATGGCTAGAATTAAAAAGACTGACCATATCAAGTGTTGGTGAGAATGTGGAGCAACTGTAACTCATACTGCTGGTCGAATGTAAAATGGTGCCACCACATTGGAAAACAAGTTGGCCATTTGTTATAAAGTTAAATATACACGTACCACACTACTCAGCAATCCTACTCACAAGTAGTTATCAAAGTAAAATGAAAACATATGTCCATACAAGGACTCGTACATGAATGTTCTCAGTGGCTTTATTCATTTTAGCCCCAAACGGGAAATAACCCAAATGCCAATCAACTGGTGAATGAATGAACAAACTGTGTTACAACCACAGTGGAATACTCCTTGGCAATACATGCAATGGTGTGCATAAATCTTAACATCATCTTAAGAAGCAGGACACATAAGACTACATATTCTTTTTTTTTTTTAAGATTTTATTTATTTGACAGAGAGAGACACAGAGAGAGAGGGAACCCAAGCAGGGGGAGTGGGAGAGGGAGAAGCAGGCTTCCCGCAGAGCAGGGAGCCCGATGCGGGGCTCGATCCCAGGACCCTGGGATCATGACCTGAGCCGAAGGGAGACGCTTAACGACTGAGCCACCCAGGCGCCCCATAAGACTACATATTCTGTGATGCCATTTATATGACATTTTTAAAAATGCCCAAACTATAGTAACAGAAAACGGAGCATTGCCAATGGTCAGGGGTGAGGGGAGAGGACTGACTGATTGCAAAGGGGCACAAGAAAACTTTCTGGGGTGATGGAACTGTTCTGTATCTTGATTTTGGTAGTCATCACATGCCTTTATACTTCTGCCAGAAGTCATTGAACTGTATCCTTAAAATGGTTGAACTTAAATGTATGTGACTATAGCTCAATAAAACTGATAAAAAGTACGAATATAGGGGTACCTGGGTGGCTCAGTCGGTTAAGTGTCTGCCTTCAGCTCAGGTCATGATTTCAGGCTCCTGGGATCGAGCCCTGCTTCAGGCTCCCTGCTCAGCAGGGAGTCTGCTTCTATCTCTCTCTCTCTCTCTCTGCCCCTCGTCCCTGCCCATTTTCTCTCTCTCTCTCTCAAATAAATAAATAAAAATCTTTAAAAAGATATGAATATATTATCTAGTTGGCAGAAAAATCCAAGTAGCCTGAGCTTGACCCAGCCCAAGCCCTGGGGCTGGTCAGAGGAGGGGATAGGGATGGTTCAGCTTATTGATGGGCAGGGGCTAGCAAGCGATCCTTATGGCAGAGGGCCACCTGAATAGGAGAGAAATCAAGAATGGAAACCTATGGATCGGACACAATCTCAAGAAATAAGGCCCAAAGAAAAGGAATGAATGAATGCACAAATGAATGAATGAATGAACAAACAAATGAACAAATGAAGTGATAGGAAAAGAGAGCAAGATAAAGACAGAGGAGAGAGAAACTGGCCGGGAAGGAGGACAGACAGAACAAGACAGAAATGAATGCCCCACCTGGTAAATCGGGACAACCAGGTCGATGGCCAGCTTCTGAGGAGGCAAGTGTGTTCCTGTCACAAGACTGAGTGAACGGGCCTCTGGTGGGATCAGTTGTGACCTCAGGTCCCTATGCCACAAGGGACATGCAGCCAGATGGGAGGTCTTCCAGCAACTGGTGCTTCCTGGCATAGCGTCTGGGGGCTTGAGCGGGGTCAGACAGAGGGTGCGTATTTGAGGGCGGGGTGGATATTTCTGCTACAGTGTAAAAACATTTTTTCCTCTTTTTGGAAGGAAATGACTCATTTAAAAGAAGCTTTATCAGTAGCAGAAGAATCCACAGCTGTGTGGCTTCTGGGCGTTTCCTGGTCTTGAGGTGTCAAACGAGGCTGAGGAAGCAGGCACGGAGTCTGGCACAGTGTTGCTGCAACATTCTGCGGGCCCCAGTGCCTTCCCCAGCGGCCACACACGGTGTGCAGAATGTGGCTCCAACTCGGGAGTCTGGAGGGGAGGTCTAGCTTAG